AATCATGCTATTGATTAAGATTTCTTCCTGTCATGCACACTGGTACCATCAATTTTATGGTATTTGTAAATGATGAAGAAGATAAAAATGAAGAAACATTTAAAATATCTGCCACCTATAAATATATTGAAGCATAATTTGGTTAGGTCAAGTTCCTGGTTCCTAGGTAATTCAAAAACTTCAGAATTTCAGTTATAATCAAAGTCAAAGATTTACATGTACTTCATTTCAATTCATTCATATTAACTAGCTATTATACATTAAATTATGAAATTGACTGAAGTGCTATAGTGCCGTCCATGTAATAATTGTCCATATAAATCCTGCCTGTTGTCTGTGATATTTGTTTTAAATTATTTAAGAAGTAGTTTTTATGTTCTTTTAATTAAATTCATATTCTTTTTAGTTTTTAGAATTTTATGATGTTTTATTCAGATTTATAATTCATTTAGAGATTAAACTTTAGTTTTGAATAGTAGATTCAGCTATATCTCATTTAGGTAAGATTACTTGGATAGTTAACATATATAGCTGTTTTGAAACTCCTGAGTTCATTTGAATAACTTTTTTTCAACTCTAAGAATTATCAATACATTGTGCCTGATATTATCAATATAAACACACATTATCCAAATATATATTCTTGTTATTTATTGTACTTAGTTATTTATAAATTATATTTTAGTAAATATGTATTATTTTTTAACAGTTACTCTTTTACATTGATCATTATCCTTGTAAATTATAATACCAACTAATATGATAACTGAGCAATTCTGTATCTACTCCTGGATTACAAATAGTCACCATGTTATAATAAAGAAACAGTTGAATCAATACAGGGGATTGAACTAGGTCAATTGCATTGACGGAATTAATGGGATATCAAGTTGATGTAAAAATTTAGTCAGTATTTAAAGACGATAATGCATTTTTGCTTACCAAAATGAACAGAGACGGCCAAATAGCCCACAGGTTCTCCATGGCTAGCATTTTTTAGTGCTTTATATGGCCACATGAAATGTGGAGCATATATTGTCGTCACCCATGTCTGTCCTTCCATAATTGCAAACACTGTAGAAGGCACAATTCTTCACTGATTTTGACGAAACTTAGTATGATTGTTCGTAATCACCTAAGGATGAAAAAATATTTAGTATGAGTTATTGCAAATAATTCTTGAAAATGCATTCAATTTTTGGCTCATAAACACTCCAGAAGGCACAATTTTTGACGGATTTAGATGAAACTTGGTATGAGTGTTGGTTATCACCCAAGGATGAACCCTATTGAAAATCAGAAAAATCAAAAGCTATTGTTCTTGAAAATGCATTCAATTTTTAGCACGTAAACGCTCTAGAAGGTTCAATTATGGACAGATTTTGACGAAACTTGGTATGAGCGTTTGTAATAACCCAAAGATGAACCCTATTGAAAATCAGAAAAATTTATTGTATGAGTTATTGCCCTTCAATTTTTAGCCCTTAAACACTCTAGAAGGCACAATTCTTGATGGATAATGACGAAACTTGATGAGAGTGTTTGTGATCAACTAAGGATGAACCCTATCAAAAATCTTGTTCTCAAAAATGTGTTCTAGTTTTAGCCTGTTTAACACTCTAGAAGGCCCAATTTGACGAAACTTGGTAAAATTATTCAGTATCACCCCAAAAAGTTCAAAAGAAGTGTAAGACTGAATATTTCGTACTGGTAATTGTTACTGTACTGCCAAATATCTTTGTTTAAAATCAAAGTTGCTAGTATATTGCCTGGCAAGCTATCTTGATAAAACTGGTTGTATTTCATCATGCTGTCAAATTGTTGGGTTTCTTTTCTCATGGTTCCATTTTTTTACTATAACCCATAGAAAATACTAGTTACTAATGGCTTGGTTATCTCAAAACTGTTTTTAAGCCTATTTTATATTGTCCCCATCTCTGTCCAGTGAAATGCTTGTGAACTGGAGACTAAGGCCAGCTGGCAAGGTTATCCACGTTTGCCTTTATCTTTATATTTGAACGTGGGCTAGTTTTGTCATGTTGGCTTATAAAAATATACTGCAAGCATGCCCTTTGGGTTAAATGACCACCACTAGCCCAAATTCCATTTAAATGTGTTTCTGATAATCCGTAAAAATTGTCTAGAGTGGGTCAGACCAGAGTTACCTGGACATCTCGCCTAATCCGCAACATAGCTTGATAAATCTTTGTGTATTTTAGTATAGGGCGATACCTTGATACTCATGAATCTTTTAAATGAACTTTGATTTATTGTCCTGTGAACATAACGACTTATAGCAACAGATTTTTGATTGGATAAGGATGAAACTGTATGCATTACCTCAAATGTGTTGATTTTTTAGATTTTAGTTATTGCACTAGATGTAGCAAGTTACACGAAAGGGTTATGCAACTTAGTATAACTATTGATATCAACTAAGTATGGAATCAGGTTTTGAAACTTGTATATATTTATATGATTCAGCTAAATAAGTATTGTCTTGTTCATTGGTTTTTAAAGATTGAAATGTAATGGAATTGTCTGCTGTTTGGGAATATATAATCCCTTTGTATCATTGACAAGGGCTAGTTAGAGTGAAAAAGGGAAGGCTTTGATTGAGGAAATGGAAATAAATGTTTTCAATTAATATTTATAATATAATAAACATAACAAAATATTATATCACATTATTTGCTAAATAATAAACAACAGCAGGTTTACACATTGAAACTGATACATAGCAACTACATAAGGATCCCCTCAAACATTCTTAATCCAGATTACCACCAAAATATCTCTAAACTAATAAAATAAACAAAAGTAAAGAAAGCTGTGAGTTATTTCTTTGAATAAATACACATAAAACTTATTATCCCAAATTTGTAAAAGAAATAAGTTAAAATCAATGCTGATATACAAAAAATGCTGAACAATTTGATCAGGAACTTAATTTTAAATTAAATTTTCTCCAACTTGTTAATAGTATTCCTGTTCAAATATATTCTGTATGTCCCATTTAGGTCAAGTTCACATAAGCTGCTAATCTAGTTATATTAATTATTTTAATTAAGTGTTGATGTGGATATTAACTATACAGAGCAGTATGAGAATCCTGTTTTTATACTGAAAGCAATATTGGCTGTCACTTGAAGTCTCTAAATCCACTCCTCAAAGTCTATAATCTAACAAAGTCACATTAGTTTTTCTTGCTGTCCTTTTTCTGTTTCTGTGTTTTTTCTCTTGCATTAGATAAATCGTATTTGTCAATGTCTTTTTTAGCTGCTATTTCACGTTTATGGACAGTTTTCATGACTTTATTTTGTAATTCAGAACGTGTAAATGGTCTGGTTTCATCATCACTACCTTCACTACCATCACTTTCATATTCATCACTAAAAATAAACAATATTTCACTGGTTGATTGTGATGTTCTGTTGTGAAATTAATCAATTTACAGTTACACTCAACCCTCTGTCAGTGCCTTCTGTTGAAATAGTAACTTGTCAATCATTGTTATATTTTGCTAAGCCACTGCCAGATCTAAAGTTTTGTTTAATTTTTCAGTTAACAATAAAACAAGCTCTTATGATTTATGACTGCTATGGCATAAATTACCATTACCAGAATTAATTAAAAAGGTTAAGTCAGATACATTGTATGTAACAAAACAAGAACTTACCCAACAGCTGGTGGTTGTATAGGATGTAATGTTGCTGGTGCTGCAGGTCCTACACCTAATAACCCAGGAGCTTTAGGATCATGTTTATCATAGTCCTGAAATAGTTCAATATATTTCATATTTATAAAAACATTTAGGATTATTATATTTTAAGTAACTTTTGACAACTAGTTAATTCTACCAACCACATCTCTCTATGTTGACGTATATTGTCGGCACCCCTGTCCGTCGGTCCGTCAACATTTGCTTGTAAACGCTCTAAAGACTAGATTTTAAAACGAAGATCAAGTTCGAATTTGAGCTATTTTCGACCATTAGAAGCAGAGTTATTGCTCTTGCCCCAAAATCTGGAATAATTACCATCCGCATGCCATGATGGGTGTATATGGCTGTGGTCCACTATCTCATATACAAACAATCACATATCTTCATTTTCACATAATAGACAGAGCAGTAGTAATTTCATTTATATTTCATCATTTTAGTTCATTGACTAATAAACAAAATTTTGTTCTTTAGGTTATAAATCACCCTTTTAATTTAAACCGAGTGTGAATAATTACCTTAGAGTTTACGTAAGCTTTAACAGCTAATAATTCATTAGTACGTTGCTCTATAATACCAAGATATTGTATCATATTACTATCTGTTACACCAGTAGCTGCTCCTAACATTTCATCTATAGCTGATCTATCACAATTAATCTTACTAAATAATGAATCAATACCTACAAATAATACAAACAAACATTATAATTCTGTCAAATTTTTATATTTCTCTCATGCACGACAAGTCATACAAACTTAATTCTGATTCTACTGCTCTCATTTAAAAAATTCTCACCAATGTTGTTCTTGCCTATGGTTTATAAGAATGAAACACTAAATGTAGAAGATACTGAATCATAAACTTTACTCCCAATAGATCAGTTCAATAGTTAAGATGCTTGATAAGTATTTTGTTACTGCACCGAATTGTAAAAGACAGCATGAGACATGCATGTAATTTTTTGTTTGTTTGCATAGTTATAAGTGAAATTTAAAAAAAACAAAAATTAGCCCTTACTGCATTCCTTTTTATAGTAAGGTAATGATTGAATGGATACAAACCTGCTTTAAGCTGATCAAGTATCTTAGATACTTCTTTAAGTTTCTGTTCATTATAATCAGCATCTTTACTAGCATGGAGTTGTTTTTCTTCTAATGTCTTTAATATATGCTTTCTCTGGGTCTCCATTTCAATACCCTGTGCCTTGAATTTCTCAATATCATTTCGAATCTATCAAACATAAAAAATAACAATGATATTTCAAAGCATCCTGTTAGATGGGACTGGTTTTCAGTAGTATATAATTCTTTTAAAATAGTTATATAATGTAAGTGATATTTATATATCTATACATATAGTAATATATTAATGTCCACAAACGTCAGTTATAATTATCAATCTATACAGCATATATAAGAAAAATAGTAAAGTGAAAATTTTGTAATATTGTGATCTGTAATAAAAGGTCAGGAATGATTATCATGCAAACATTCTGCCATTAAAAGAATATTCCAAAAAATCACCATATAACACTATTCTACAGGCATCCAAGAAAATTGCTAAGCAAAACCTGTGAAAGTAACATTCTGAAAATTATGTGTGATGTTTACGATGATTCTAAAGCAGGGAAAAAGATCTGAGTTTGTGAGCATGACATTGGTTCTAAAAGGATCTTGTGAGCATGGCATTATATTCAAAGGATATTTATGTTCAAGGCAATGAATCTGAAAAGATTTGTGAACAAGAGTATGAATTAGATCTTAAAAAATATGTGTACATGACATTTAAAAACACAAAACAAGGCTTTTTAATAGATTTGGAAGAATTTTGTGTACTTGACATAAGATGACTAATAAATTATGTGTTATAATAAATATTCCTGATAATTACAGAAGATTTATTGATGAGGCTCAAAAACTTAAGATTTTTGAATGTCTCAATGGAGTCAAGAACCTTAAAAGAAAATCAATAAATTGAGAAAAGCTATTATATTGCCATTCTAGATCATGATAGATTAATTTATTGTCAGAAAAATAGCTGAAAAACATAGAAACACAAAATTATAGTTTATACCATTTCAAATTGTTACAGAATTTAACCAAGAATTAAAGACATCTGATCCTAACATCAGTGGTAGAGGGAAAATGGAATGGAAGTGCAAGTTAGTAACAAAGAGATTTCATAAAGCAGGGGTGAAATAAACATTGTAAGTTAAAAACATTAGATATAAGCTTAATTTCTGGGGACCATAGTTTCTTTATAGAATTGATATTGAGAGTTCATATTATGTATAGATTCAATGTTGGGTATTATAAATGATTTGGAGTCTAAACAATACGAAAATCTACTTACATTTTGAATATCATCATTCAATTTCTCTATTTCATTATTCTGTTCATTAACATAATTAAACAGAGCAAAGTTTTTATCTTCCACTTCAATAAATTTATTGACTAGAAGGTCAAGATTATCTTCTCCTGTCATTTCTTTAATCCTCTGTACAGCAGCTTCATAAGTATCAACAGAATCTTCTTGACTTTCTTTCTTTCTTTCCACTTCTGCAGCCTCTATAAAATATTAGAATTTCAAATCGAGTTGTTTGAACTACTGTTACACAATACAATGAGCTAAAGTCCAACCAAATATTTATTCTGGTCTAATAAGCAAGATTCAATCTTACCTTTTCTCTGTCTCCAAGCCACCAGTTGTGGATCTTCTTGTCTTTCTTGACCCTTTATTCCCATAAATTCTTTAAGTTTGCGATCATGATCAATAATACGAACTAATTCTTTCATTTCAGCATTATGTTGTTGTACATCCTTATCAGCCTTTTCTCGCAGTAATATCATCTTAGCTTGAGCATCATCTCTATGAAATAAATATAGAATGTTACACAAGGTTACAAGATATGTTGGTGTTTGGTTACAATTATTGTACTTCTACACTGTATAATTGCAGAACAGGGGCTCAGGGAATTTCATTTTCTGTCTTATATGGTTTATAATAGCTTACCTAGCATCATAAGCTTGTGTTGAGGATTCAATAACTTCACCCATTTCACGTCTGATCTGACGCAATTCTTTCTCTAATTTCTTATATAAATTCTCAAATCTTTTATGCTCATGTCTTAAACTTTCAATCTCATCTCTCAGTTTAGCATTTTTAGTTAAATTATCATTAAACTTCTTCTTAGCCTAGAAAACAACCATATAGAGATAAAGTCATTATTATTCATAATTTAAGACTCAACTCGCATCAATTAGTAATAACCACTAAGGATATTCACAAATTATTTTGTGTAAAAATTTAAAAGAAACTGAAAAACACTTCTTATTCTACAAGTATCAAGAGAATAGTGCAAACAAAGAAGTTCAAATCTTGTCATTCATAATTATAAATTTCTTGTACCCTTTGATTGTTTCAAAAAACTAAAATACAGGGAGCCGTTTTATAGTTCCGTAAACTTGCTGAACTAAGCTAAGAAATATTTCTCTTACTTGATCAAGTCGTGTTTCTAAAACTCGGGCAGCTTTCTGTGTTTGTGTAGTATGTGTAGAACTCATGTGAACTCCACCCATATCTCTATGTTGACTTCGAAGTTTCTTTTCTGATTCTCTAATCTTAGCATCAAGTTCTGCCTGTTTTTTTCTTTCTTCTTCCATTTGCAGCTCTAAATCCTCTAAACAAAATTAATAAAAATTTATCAACAGTAGAATAGAATATTCTGTACTGTAAACAATTCAAATTGCAAAATGTTAATAGAGGCGAGGAGGATTTATTCATTTTGCTGGGAAGAAACATACATCATATCAACTGTACAACAGGTGTTGACATGCCATCTAATAAGAAATTGTTTTATTAAAATAAATAATACATTAATCAATAACATCATTACCTTTAGCTTCTACTAAGGTAACTAACTGATCTGTATTTTCTTCATCACGAATTTCATTACTACGACTTTCAGCTAATCTTAATTCTTTTAACAATTCCTGTTTTTCTTTTTCCAACATTAACTCTTCAGCTCTGAATTTGACAAAATACACATTATAGCCAATTTTTTTCCTAAAGGTCGGATAATTATGTATTAAAAGAAAGATAAGATTACTATTGCAATAATTTGTATTTCTTCACATCTTGATCTTTGGCCAATTGTAAAGCATTTAAAAAGTTGTAAGTCTTAGGAAAGCTTTGCTTAAATCGTCTCATGTCGAGTGGTCAAACGTGCAATCCCACTAAACATAATCTTTCAGAACGAAGTATTTCTGGCAAAGTAGAAATAGATAGAAACTTACTTTTGCCTTCTTATCATATTCTGTGATTCCTCTGTATAAGCCGTTCTGTCTCCATCCATCAATCTATACTGTCTCTGTAACTTAACTAGCTCTACCTCTGCTAGTCCTTCCATATCAGCATCACTGACATCAGAACGTGCTGATCTCGGTCGTGGCATCTTGAACTAAAAATTTATAATAATAGTATTAATCAAATACTGTGTTTGACATTGTAGAAGAAGTTTGGCTTACAAGGCAGGGTATATCTTTGAACCCAATGAAATTCTTAGACACATCGATATGTACAGGTATAGATTATTAAACAATCTTTGTAAGACATATATTACATAGGCCTGGAATAGATAGGTAGAACATGTCATATAAAGAACAAATCTTGCGTTCTTTATCATAATAGAATAGTTTAACTTACGCTAATGATTTCCACTTATTTTCTTAGTTATGAATTGTTCAAGATTCCGTTCAACTCAAATTGAGTTGTTTAAATGAGTTAGCTCTTAAATAATCTACCAATTTTAACTGAACGGGCACCTTGCTGATTAAAAGTTTGTTTTCATGACAGCGGAAGTTGACGTTGGTTGCTAACAGTAACTGGTAAGGGAAACTACTCTCATATATAGTCGCTGACATCCAGACGAAAGGTTCGGCCCAAAACCATTGAGTTATAAATATAACTATATATCTATGCCCAAAACGAAACATTTATGTTTTCTATGCGATCTAGCGCACGAACTTGTTTTTACAGAAAAATCTGAGAATGTAAATGGACTCAAGTAGAGGCACAACGCTCAAATTCTTGTTCTTTAGTATAGAGATTAGATATAGATTAGAGATTTTCTAGTTTATTTTAATCGATTTGCACCATTCCAAATTTCAGTCGGACGTCTGTAAAATAAAATGTTTTATTAGCCTTTGAGGTCCATTTGTTTCTCCGTCACACATCAGTACGTCAGTCAACACGTCAAACACGTCACACGTCGATGCTACGTTATAAAATCAAGAATCATATTATTTTTAATCACAAAACGAAATAAAAACGATATTTTGAAAATGGACACGTCAATGATACCTTACAAAATACAGCATTTCAATATATTTCAACGAAAAACGAAAGATCATTTAGAAAATTCTGTTATGAAAATAAACACGTCGGTAAACACGTCAAAACAGTAGGAATTGCCAATATTGTTCGTTCTTTACAGAGTTTTTGTAAAAAACGCATGAACAATAGGAACTTTCTCAAAGGGCTGCTTTTTTTCGAAAACTCAAGATCTGTGTGGCATCAGGTATTCTAGAAAGGTTAAGTGTGCGTCAATACGTTTGGGCCGAAATTTCATCACACGGTCGGAACATCAAAACTTCCGTCAGTAAACAAGTCAAAGAACTGGTCTTCGTCACACGTCAATACGTCAGTAAACACGCCAGACGCGTCAAAGAAATGAAAACACACCAGACGCGTCAAAGAACTGTTATCCTCACAAGTCAGTCCGTCAGTAAAGGAAAGTTAATCAAACTATGTGAACTCTCTTAAAATACCACATTCTTGACAGACTCAATCGCAAAGTGGCCTCAGGTGTTCCAGAGAGTGTAAGCATGCCTTAAAACGTCTAGGTCGAGTTTTAAACACATTCCTGTAGGTTAAGACTCAAAACCGTCAGTAAACACGTCAAAGAACTGGTCTTCGTCAATACGTCAGTACACACGTCAGGCGCGTCAAAGAAATGAAAACACGCCAGACGCGTCAAAGAACTGTTATACTTCAGTCAGTCAGTCAAGAAAAGTTTTTAAAACTATTTGAACTCTCTTAAAACAACTGCCTTAATTGTTGACAGACTCAATCGCAATGTGACCTCAGGTGTTCCAGAAAGTATAAGTATGCCTTAAAACGTTTAGGTCGAGTTTTAAACACACCTCAGTAGGTAAAAACACCAGTACGTCAGTAGACAAGTCCAAGAACTGGTCTTCGTCACACGTCAATACGTCAGTACACACGTCAGATGCGTCAAAGAAATGAAAACACGTCAGACGCGTCAAAGAACTGTTATTCATTACAAGTCAGTCCGTCAGTAAAGAAAAGTTAATCAAACTATGTGAACTCTCTTAAAATACCACATTTTAGACAGACTCAATCGCAAAGTGGCCTCAGGTGTTCCAGAAAGTGTAAACATGCCTTAAAACGCTTAGGCCGAGTTTTAAACACACCTCATTAGGTAAAAACTTCAATCCGTCAGTAAACACGTCAAAGAACTGTTCTTCGTCACACGTCAATACGTCAGTACACACGTCAGACGCGTCAACGAAATAAAAACACGCCAAACGCGTCAAAGAACTGTTATCCCTCTCAGGTCAGTACGTCAGTAAAGAAAAGTTAATCCAACTATGTGAACTCTCTTAAAATACCACATTTTTGACAGACTCAATCGCAAAGTGGTCTCAGGTGTTCCAGAAAGTATAAGTATGCCTTAAAACGTTTAGGTCGAGTTTTAAACACACCTCAGTAGGTTAAAACTCGAATCCGTCAGTAAACACGTCAAAGAACTAGTTTTCGTCACACGTCAATACGTCAGTACACACGTCAGACGCGTCAAAGAAATGAAAACACGTCAGACGTGTCAAAGAACTGTTATTCATTACAAGTCAGTCCGTCAGTAAAGAAAAGTTAATCAAACTATGTGAACTCTCTTAAAATACCACATTTTAGACAGACTCAATCGCAAAGTGGCCTCAGGTGTTCCAGAAAGTGTAAACATGCCTTAAAACGCTTAGGTCGAGTTTTAAACATACCTCATTAGGTAAAAACTTCAATCCGTCAGTAAACACGTCAAAGAACTGGTCTTCGTCACACGTCAATACGTCAGTACACACGTCAGACGCGTCAAAGAGATGAAAACACGTCAGACGCGTCAAAGAACTGTTATTCCACACAAGTCAGTCCGTCAGTAAAGAAAAGTTAATCTAACTATGTGAACTCTCTTAAAATACCACATTTTTGACAGACTCAATCGCAAAGTGGCCTCAGGTGTTCCAGAAAATGTAAGTATTCCTTAAAACGTTTAGGTCGAGTTTTAAACACATTTCAGTAGGTTAAGACTCAAATCCGTCAGTAAACACGTCAAAGAACTGGTCTTCGTCACACGTCAATACGTCAGTACACACGTCAGACGCGTCAAAGAAATGAAAACACGTCAGACGCGTCAAAGAACTGTTATTCATTACAAGTCAGTCCGTCAGTAAAGAAAAGTTAATCAAACTATGTGAACTCTCTTAAAATACCACATTTTTGACAAACTCAATCGCAAAGTGGCCTCAGGTGTTCCAGAAAGTGTAAGCATGCCTTAAAACGTTTAGGTCGAGTTTTAAAAACAACTCAGTAGGTAAAAACATCCGTACGTCAGTAAACAAGTCTCAGAACTGGTCTTCGTCACACGTCAATACGTCAGTACACACGTCAGACGCGTCAAAGAGATGAAAACACGTCAGACGCGTCAAAGAACTGTTATTCCACACAAGTCAGTCCGTCAGTAAAGAAAAGTTAATCAAACTATGTGAACTCTCTTAAAATACCACATTTTTGACAGACTCAATCGTATAATGACCTCAGGTGTTCCAGAAAGTATAAGTATGCCTTAAAACGTTTAGGTCGAGTTTTAAACACACCTCAGTAGGCAAAAAAAAACATCAGTACGTTAGTAAACAAGTCAAAGAACTGGTCTTCGTCACACGTCAATACGTCAGTACACACGTCAGACGCGTCAAAGAGATGAAAACACGTCAGACGCGTCAAAGAACTGTTATTCCTCACAAGTCAGTCCGTCAGTAAAGAAAAGTTAATCAAACTATGTGAACTCTCTTAAAACAACTGCCTTAATTGTTGACAGACTCAATCGCAAAGTGGCCTCAGGTGTTCCAGAAAGTGTAAGTATGCCTTAAAACGATTAGATCGAGTTTTAAACACATTCTAGTAGGTTAAGACTCAAAACCGTCAGTAAACACGTCTCAGAACTAGTCTTCGTCACACGTCAATACGTTAGTACACACGTCAGACAAGCTTAACCGCAAAGTGGCCCCAGGCGTTCAAGAAGGTTTAAGCATGCCTTTATACGTTTAGTTTGAGTATTCATCACACTTCAGTAGTAGAACTAGCCAACAAAATTAACTTTTTTGAAGATTGTGGGTATTCTGAATGTCATAAAGTAATAAAGGTAATACATGTTTTAAGTTAAGCACAGTAATTAGGACTTTGATGTTTGTCGGCATAATGACATATAAGGATTTGTACAAGGGCAATTAAATAACTCATGAAGATAGATTCGTAATTTTAAACCTTAGACCTAGGATAACAGGAAAATAATTAATAATACTTAATACTTAATACTAAATAATTAATATTAACTAATTAAACAGTCTGTTAATAAATTAGTGTGATGGATTAACGGTAGATGGACAAAAGCCCCTACAAAATTTTGCTCTAGGACAAAAGCCCCTACGGACAAAACCCCCTATTACCTAGGACAAAAGCCCCTACAAAAAAATAAAATTATTTAAAACTTTTAATATATATCAAACAAACTTAACATTGTAAAACAAAATTAATGTAGCACATTGAGTCATAAAAAAGGTAACCTATTTGAAGGTTGGGGCACATTTATATGTCAATAAGGAAACGGGATAGGACATATAATTTCTCATCGGACAATCACAACAATCTTATATTTCTTGCTACACCTTTCAAGAAATCTTCCACATTTTTTCAGCTTTTTTGAACTGTTCACATAAGTTATAAAGACGGACCTGCAACCGGGATGGTAGTTCACCCTAGCATCTTGATAGAAAGCAGTTGCTACGAGACATGCATCTTTCGGAATGTTGTCGATCACAGTCAAGATACCAGGATGACTGTGACCAACTAATTCACAAAAGTTGTTGGTACGACTTTCATTATCTAAGGTGGCCAGATGTACATTCCATTGCTCGGGAGGAAAAAGAGCTGGTCGCCTACTCATTCTTATTGGGGGGAGAGGACCTCCTGGAACAATTACAGGGGGCTGTATAGCACGAAATCCATCAGACAAATATGTATTATCAACATAGTCCAACAAGTCTGTCAGTTCATCGGAAACATTACTTCTTAGATAGAGCATTCCATCTTTCACACGATCAACAGGTAAAAAAAAGCCAATGCGTCAATCATGCCACAAATACTCAAACTAAACGTATAAAGGCATGCTTAAACCTTCTGGAACGCCTGGGGCCACTTTGCGGTTAAGCTTGTCAAAAAGGCAGTATTTTAAGAGAGCATACTTGATTAACTTTTCTTTACTGACGGACTGACTTCCGAGGAATAACAGCTCTTTGACGCATCTGACGTGTTTTCATCTCTTTGACGCGTCTGGCGTGTGAACTGACGTATTGACGTGTAACGAAGACCAGTTCTTTGACGTGTTTACTGACGAAAGGGAGTTTTTACCTACTGAGATGTGATTAAAACTCACACTAAATGTATAAAAGCATGGTTAAACTTTCTAGAACAACTGTGGCCACTTTGCGATTGAGTCT